TTAGGGTCTGGTCAATTTATGTCGGATCAATTTTGAGTTGAATCCGAATCCGAATTGTGACCCGATTTTTTAAACCCTATCTTATATTACATATATTGGACTATTATAAAATTATCTTAAGAAAATAAAAATACCTAAAATAATGATAATATTAATAACTTGTCAAAGCGTGTTAAGGAGTGGGTTGTTGGAGTCGGATGGCGAGTCAATTCAAAGACGCTGAGTCACACGCCGCCCGAGTTGTTAAGATAAGGTTGCTGACAACGGTCTTCTATTGAGTATTGAGGACTGGCCCTTGCCGCAGTAATACCGAGGGAGATTAGGGGAGTTAATGACTTGATTATTATAATTTTAAAATTAACTGTCATTATTTTAAGTGATTAGAGGAATTAATGACTTGATTATTAGAATTTTAAATTTAACTGTCATTATTCTTAAGCGCGTAAATTTTAACCGTTTTTTATTGAATTAGGATTTTTATTTTTCGTCTCACTGTACGGAATAAAAATCGAGGTCTGAATTTCAATTTAATTAATTAAATTTAGGCTTCGTTTGGGATAATTTTTTTACTCTTCTTAAAATAAATTTTTAGTACAAAAATTTAAATTTTGTAAAAAAATTGCTTTAAAAAATAATAAAAAAACCGTCCCAAACGACGCCTTAGCTTTGTTATTACCAACTCGAACATGAATTAATAGTAATTGAAATTGATTACGGTTTTTATTTTTTTATTTTATTTATATGTGATATGTCATGCAAAAATTATCTTGCTCGGGCACGAATCTCGAGGCAAAAATCAAGTTGGAAATTTCAAAAATTAAATCCGAGAGCATCTGAACTCCGATTTCAACAAACTTACTGTCAAACTGAGCGTCTCAGAAATACAAAACCAACAATACCAAATTCAACTCAATCCAAGCCCAAATGAGCCCAAATCAAGCACCCGAAGTGCTGTTGGAAAGTTCTTACCACAATTCGAGTTATCAAACGGTCTCCAATTTTAACGAGCTTATAGTTGAATCGAACGGCTCGACGAGACGAATCCAACAAACCTAAGATCTCCAAATTCCGACATCATTAAGACTTTCAAATGTCTGACGAACGGTGCATGATCAAATGATTCAATATAAGTCGTCCGTTCGACCACTCCCTATTTGCCCTGGATCTCGCACCTATTTACAAGCTATGCCACCCCATAAAATCTATAAATAGACCCCTCATTTCTCATGAGGGGGGACCCAAGCAAGAGGAAGGACCGAAGCAAGAAGGAGGAGGAGGAGGAGAAGAAGAGAAGAATAGGAGGGAAGAGACTCCTCCTCGACCATCGCCGGAGTTCCACCCGAACTCCAAATGACGTCGGAATTCTACCCGACTTCCACGGGACATCAGAATTCTGCCTGATTTTTCACGGGATGCTAACATTCTTCCCAAGTAACAACAGAGTTCCTCTCTGACGCCGAAACTCCACCCAAGTGATACCGGAGTTTTCCTTAGCCACCAACGGACAACAGACTTCTACCCGATGCCAGACTTTCACTCATCCCCAAGTTTCTACCCGATGCCAGACTTCTACCGGTTATCGGACTTTCGCTGGACATCTATCCGAAGATGGATTTCTTTCCATTGTTGGACTTCTACCTGAAGTTGACCTTCGTCGTTAGACAATAGTCCTTCCGACCTCCGTCGCCAGCCGACTACGGTCCTTCTAACTTACATCGCCCGCCGACTACAGTCTTTCCGACCTCTGTTGCCCGCCGACTATGGTCCTCCTGACTTACGTCACCCACCGACTAAAGTCTTTCCGACCTCTGTCGCCCACCGACTACGTTCCTTCTAACTTACGTCGCCCGCTGACTAAAGTCTTTTAGACCTCCGATGCTCGCCAACTACGATCCTTCTGACTTACATCGTCCACCGACTACAACCCTTCCGACCTCCGCCTCCAGCCGACTACGATCCTCCTGACTTACGTCGTCCGCAGACTACAGTCTTTCTGACCTCCGTCACCAGACTATGGTCATCCCGACCAAATGAACACGTCAATAGTGATTCTTTGTATTTACATCATATAATGTACTCTATAAAATGTACATCATGCTAAGGGCTACTCCCAAGGAAGGGCCTCATTTGTAATCAACTGCAATACTAGTGGATTCATTCAAACTGGGCTAGGCCCCGTGGTGTTTCCCCCTTTTCAGGGGTTTTCCACGTAAAAATATTGGTGTCTCCTATGAATGCTACACACTCTCTTATCTAATTGTGTGCCGGATTTTTGTACAACCCTAAGACGTTAAACTTTATATATCTCTACCACTGCGAATACTCCATGACGCAACAATATTGATGATCGTTAAATAAATTTATGAATAATTTTAGGATGATGGTTTTATTTATGATTTATTTTATTAAAATAAAAAATAATAATTTAAAAAATTATAAATATAGATATTGTATGCTTTCATTTACTTGAATTTAATTAGTAGTGTTCTTTTTAACTAATGAAAAAAATATTTTGAAATTGATGATTTTAGTATATGCATAAATAGTTTAAAATATAATCAATATTTTAAAAAATAGTCTTGCTTGCATCAATAATACAAACTTTTATTCTACACCACTTATAGGACACCAAAAATCATCTTGATCAAGTGCGAATCCTGAGGCAAAATTCTATTAGAAATATATGAAACTAAGTTCTGGACCATATAAATTCCAAATTGAGCAAATTTATAGTCAATTGAATGTCTTGAAGAAACAAATCTAACGACACGAAGATTGATCGAATTCAAGTGCAACTAAGCCCAAATCAATGACCCTAAGCATAATATGAAATTTCAAAGTATAAATTGGGTGACCAAATGATCTCCAAACATGGCATGCTTCTAGTCGAATCAAGCGGCCTGATGAGATGAATCCAACAAGTTCAAGATAACTTAATTCTGATATCATTTAGGCACCTAAGTTCTAAAAAAATGATCTATGATTGATGATGCGGGCCATTCGATGGAAAGCTCTAGATTTTTCTAATATTTTATGGGACATGTCACTCCCAAAAATCTATAA